GAGAAGTTGATAATATCTAACACTGTACTGTTCATTAAAGGAAAGATCTCCTTAAACAGTCTAGTGGGAATGGGGTCCAACATACATGTTGCTGGTTTAGAAGAATTAACTATTGATGTGAGCTCTAAGAGGTTCACAACAGAGAAGCTGTCCAAACACACAAGTATCCTGAAGTGATCATGTTTCCTCCCTGTAAAAACATGTCTAACGCACAACACAATCACCGGTTTACATCAATAAAAATTATTCTAGAATATTTTTTTCTTTGTGTTTATGCTTCCATGATGCATGAAACAAAACAGCAAACAAATGCTCTGCCACCTTCTTCTTTCTACTGTGAGAAATACTGTTGTCCTGTACATCACTTGGTTTCAGCTGTTTAAGGCTGCAGTATTGGCTGTACATTGGCACATGACAGTGACATGTTTTTTTTTTCAATTCAATTGTTTAAAATCAGTGAATGCAGAAATTTGAGTTCAGAGAAGTTATTCAAAATATAATTGATACAATTACCAATATTAAGTCAACACTATTTTTATCTTGCAGCTATGCATTTAAGTGGTGGTAACAAATCCCCTGAAATATTTTTTAGAGTGTATTCATTTCATTTTTGTAGTGTCAAATCACAAGTAATGTCTTCTCAAGGCTCTTCACATAGTAAGGTGAAGATATAAAGTTTACACAGAGACCCAAGAAATCCAAAGATTTCTTTGGATTCCCTTTGAGCAGCACTTGGCAACATTGGGGATGAAATAAACTCCTTTCACTTGAAAACAAAAAACTGAACAAGGCTCAGGGCATAATCTGCATAACTAAGAGGTGGTTCAGGTGACCATGAGCAACCCTAACTGTGAGCGTTATCAAAGTTTTAAGCCAAATCTTTAAAGTAGAGATGGTGTCTCCCTCCCGAACTCAAACTGGGAGCTGATTCTACAACAGAGGAGCCTGACCAAAAGTAAGCCTGCAGTCCAAGAGTGAAGGGCTCTGTTGTGAAAATATGATACAAGGATGTCAGGACATGATGGCTTAGTCCAGTGATTCTCAAACTGTGGGGCGGTGACATGACAGGGGGGGCGTGTGACCGCTCTGTGTGTGATTGTTTTTTCTTCTTGGGCGGCCGAAAATTTAGCAAGCGGAACTACTATATTTTTCGGACGATAAGGTACACTGGATTATAAAGCGCAGTGTCAATGAAACGTCTGTTACGGGACGGTTCGAAGACTCATGCGCGAGACAACATGACACGGCAGACAGGCAGTTTAAACAATAATTTATTGGTACACACAGGAAATAAGCACAGAACTCAACGAGGTTTGCAGGCAGGGCAAACTACACCTATTAGTGGTTGAATGAACTAAAGAACTAAGACACGGACCCGAGTTCGGTACCACCGAGTCGGGAACCCAAAACTAGACTAAAAACTGAGGAACAACTAAAAGAGGACACCATAAGGTGCTAACGAGGAAACTCAATAAACAAAAGGCTAGCAGACCAAAAGCTATTGATAAAGCTAGCGCTACGCACAGACTGACTTACTTCAGAGAGAGGAGAAACAGAACATAGGACAAGTAGACAAGAGTCCTCAAAAGCTAACGCTACCTACAGATTGGCAGACTGAGTGCAATATCAAGAATTACATGACATACAGACAGGTAGACAAAAGCTGTCTCAAAAGCTCGTGCTACATACATAAATAATAAATCATGATGCTAGTTTATGAGGCTAGCAAAACCACACTGGGAGAACCAGACCTGACAGGAGCCGACCGAGTGGAGAGGGGAAGCAGGGAGGAGGATAGGTGGTGCAGAGGGGTTGGCGTAGCCGCGGCTGCGGTGGAGAAGCAGACGGAGATCAGGAGCGGACGCCAGGGGATCCAGGAAGGGAAAGGTGAGCGGAGCTGGTGAGCTGACTGAGCCGCAGTGGTGCAGCGGCGTCGGAACAGACGAGTGGATGAGAGCGGGCAGGTGTAGAATCCGGTTTCAGTGGCAGGAGTGGAATGGTAATGGTGGCAGAACCGGTGAATGGTTCGACGGCGTGGCGCTGGAGCATTGTCTGGCCGGAGCTGAAATACCAGCAGACCGGAGGTTGCAGCTCGAGCGGACCAATCCCCACGTACCAATCATTAGATTGGTAACCAGGTACACCTGCCTGCGTGCTGGGACGCCAGAGAGAGAGAGAGCGCAGGGCAGGGGACCGTGGTGAAATTAGTTTGAAGTTGGATACTGGATATTCGCGCTCCGCGTAGTCAGCGGCGTCTTGCTCACAGTTGATCCGATTTACGGACTCAGACTTCGGCTCGCTCCTCTCTGCTGCATCGCCACCCAACCAGCGACATTTCACTTAGGGACCGTCAACGAACTTCTGAACCGAGAACCCTTGAGAAATAAAAAATAATACATTTTCTATTTTGTGACCTCGTGACTAAAAACCAGTGTGGATATATTCAACTGCACTGGACAGATGAGACACAGCAATTTATTTTCAATTTTAGCCTTTGTAATATTTTTAATGAATTATTATATTCATAAATTTGGAATATTCTTCAATAGCTTCCAGGTCATGTGACCCACTGACTTCAAATTAGTGTCAACTTACTCAGCTAGTTTGGACAAATGAGGCACACCAATTAATTTTCAATTTGAGCCTTTTGCATATTTTTTTTATGAATTATTATATTCATAAATGTTGAATATTCTTCAATAGCTTCCTTGTCATGTGATCCAGTGACTTCAAACCAGTGTCAAATTATTCAACTACACTTGAAAAATGAGGCACACCCTTTTTTATTACATTTTAGTCTTTGTAATATTTTTATGATTATTTATATTCATAAATTATTAATATTCTTCAATAGCTTCCAGGTCATGTGACCCAGTGACTTCAAACCAGTGTCAAATTACTCAGCTATTCTGGACAAACGAGGCACACCATTTTTTATTCCATTCTAGCCATTTTAAGAATTTCTATGATTATTTATATTCATAAATTATGAATATTCTTCAATAGCTTCAAGGTCATGTGACCCAGTGACTCCAAATCAGTGTCAAATTACTCAGCTAGTCTGGACAAACGAGGCACACCAATTTATTTTCGATATTAGCTATTTGAATTTTTTTTTTAGGAATTATTATATTCATAAATTTGGAATATTCTTCAATAGCTTCCAGGTCATGTGACCCACTGACTTCAAATTAGTGTCAAATTACTCAGCTAGTCTGGACAAACGAGACACACCAATTAATTTTCAATTTGAGCCTTTAGCATATTTTTTTATGAATTATTATATTCATAAATTATTAATATTCTTCAATAGCTTCCAGGTCATGTGACCCAGTGACTTCAAACCAGTGTCAAATTATTCAACTACACTTGACAAATGAGGCACACCCTTTTTTATTCCATTTTAGTCATTGTAATATTTTTTGTGATTATTTATATTCATAAATTATAGATATTCTTCAATAGCTTCAAGGTCATGTGACCCACTGACTTCAAATCAGTGTCAAATTACTCAGCTAGTTTGGACAAATGTTTTAAAACAATGTAAAAAAATGTAGAAAATAAAACTGTACATAATTTTTGGCAAAGAAGCTATTAAAAAATATTAGTAATTTATGAATATAAGCAATCAACAGAAATATTAAAATGGCTCAAATTGAATAAAAATTAGTGTGTCTCGTTTCTCCAGACTAGCTGCGAGCGCAGCGGAGGTCGGAGTGAATCTGAGAGCACTTCCATTTGCAGGCAGCCCGACTGCCTCCATGCCTCCCGGTGTCCCTGCATACCCCTTACTGCCCCAGGCGGCCGGCTAGACAGGTCC